TATATACTTGGGATCACGTGAGATCAAGGGTTTTTCATGAGACCCATAAGACCAATTCTCAACCTTTGGATTATATCTACAATCTGACAATCTGAATATTTATAAACGCCACAAAATTTCTCAATAATCACAAAATTGTCACTATGCAACTTTAGATCATTAAATCATTAGCTTATAAAGTTGATCAATGAACATAAATTGGTCTTACGGATCTCATGAAAAACCATTGGTCTAACGTGAACCCAACCCTATATATGTATAATATGTATATATGAATACATATAATATGTATATACATATTGTGAAACAAATTAACGTTTATTGTTTCACGTACATGATTAGAGAGTTCTTACGGTTCTCAACCTCTCATTTGATTCTATATGTAAATAAACTGAGAAAATAGTTTTGAAATGTAGGACACACTGAAATCGAGTCCTCCGGAGAAGAAAGTCATGAAAACGGCAACCACCATTGGGATTTCAGCTTCGACATCGTTCTACATGCTATGTGGGCTACTCGGATACGCAGCATTCGGCAACGACGCACCTGGGAATTACTTGACTGGCTTCGGTTTCTACGAGCCTTTTTGGCTCGTCGACATTGGTAACTTGTGCGTCGTTATACATCTTCTTGGAGCTTACCAGGTACCCAATATTCTCCTCGACTTAGGGGCCGTTTACCAAACGCTTACTCCGTTTTTAATACAATTCAACACTATCACTTGCTTACCGGGTACAAATTTACCCTGTAAACGTTAATTGTGCCAAGAGTAGTCGCCTTTACTTAATTACCAGGTAAGACTCTCTGTCCTTGACTTCGCTGTACATGGTGAGATTCTTGGTTCTTGCATATTTTATTCTGTAAGGTAATGCGACTTAGTAAGTGCTTACTCAGGTAAACGTTTGGTAAACAGCCCTTAAGTAGCATTTACACCAAAAATCGACATTTTTTAAGGAAAAAAAAACTCAATTTCGTGACGTTTTGTAGGTAGTGGTCCAACCTTTTTTCGCGTTCGTGGAGAATTGGTGTCATAGAAAATGGCCAGAAAGCGAGTTCGTGAACAAGGAACACTCCATTGGCGCCTTTAGGATCAATCTTCTGAGGTTAATCTGGAGGTCGACATATGTGATTTTAGCAACGTTGGTGGCGATGATCTTCCCATTCTTCAACGCTTTTCTTGCGCTTATCGGCTCAACAACGTTCTGGCCGTTGACGGTCTATTTCCCGATAGAAATGTACATTTCTCAGGCTAAGATTCGAAGGAATTCTTTCACCTGGATCTGGTTGAAGGCATTGAGCTTAGTGTGCTTGCTTGTATCGCTTCTTGCTGCTGCTGGATCGATTTGCGGCCTTGTTGCGTCCATTCAGACCTTCGAGCTCTTTCAATCAGTGTCTTAATTAATCAAATGTTAGTTTCTGGTTGTTTGTTTTCGTGTGCTTGTTATGTTTCAAGATTCAAACTGGGATGTTATGCATCTTTTTGGCTTCCTGATGATTCCAAGAAATATAGAGCTGATTAAGGGGCCGTTAAGCAGTTACCGGTAAAATTCAACACTATTGCTTACTTACCGGGTAAGATTTTATTTACTAAAACGCTTCGTATGCAACAATTTATCCCAGTAAGTGCTAATCATGGTAAGAGTCATCGTCCTCACTTACCGCGTAAGAGTCTCGATTCTTGCGTTCGCTCTTACCGGGTAAGATTTTTAGTCTTTGTCATATTCATCCGATAAAGTAAAGTGACTTGGTAAGCGCTTATCCGGATAAGTGTTTGGTAAAAAACACCTAAAAAAGATCTACAAACATAACGTGTTCAAAATTCAAATCAGTTTGTACCTAAAAAAACTGTATAAAAAGGGGTAAAATGATCATTGATGTTATGGATACAGTATATTCAGCATAAAAACTAATGGGGTGTTTGGGATTGCTTATTTGAAACAACTTATGTTTTTTTATAAAAGTCCTTATCAACTTATTATAAGTTAGAATGGTCTAAGTTCTTCAAAAACTCCTTATTACCGGTTTGACACTGGTATAAGCTATTTATCCAAGCACTAAAAAATGCTTATTATCGGTGTCATACCGGAATAAGTCAATAAGTTGTTTTTATATGCAATCTCAAACACCCAAAATACAAAATTAACTTAATTAATCCAAATTAGATCTTCATAGAAAGACAGCTTAATAACTCTAAACAAATTGATGCAATAGGAAGTGCGGAAGGATCGATAGACATCTAAATGATATTATAAATTTGTGTTTATAGGACGTCACCAACTTCTAAGCGTCTTAATAGACCCCTTTATAAGACTTAATTTATAGTTTCAAAAAATAAAGCATCATATCTAAACACACAATAAGTTTATATGACGTTTTTAGAACATTTTTAATACAAAATGTAGTATTAGCAATTTTATAAGACAATGTTTGAAAAAGTGTCCTATAAAAAGAAGGGTTTATAAGATATATTTTCAATAGTGTCATGTAAAATTGCAAATGTGTTGCTTACTATTAAAAGTGTTTTAAAAAACTTGTTAGGACGTCCAAAATCGTTCTATAAACTTATTACAACGCCCTTAGATAGAATACTTTATGTTTTATATAACTCAGAAAATTTACTCTCAAAAAGAACTTTATTGATAATGAATAATCGGATTAACAATGAAACAAATAAATCTATATATAGTTTAAGCTAGAAAAAGAAAACTACGAAAATATAATAGGGGTTGTTTGTTTACCTCTTAATAGTTCCATTAAGAGGCAACATCTGAATCGTTAAGAGGTGAATCTTGTTTGGCAAAAAAAAATTATGTCTCTTAATGGTTCTAAAACCCTCTGAATGATTTTGTATCATGGATCTCCCTTAATCATTAAGAGCCCTAATTTCATTGTACACAATTACCAAACAATTATATTTTATTTTGCAGTATATCATGATAACCTCTTAATCATTCTGACCATTTAATCATTCTGCACCAAACCATTCAGCAATTTTCAAACAACCCTTAAAACTAGGAAGCAATAAATAATCAAAAGATAATGGTGGATAAAAGCTTGCTGGAACAACGAAAAGTATAAGAAAACAATCAATTTACATGGGACCTACACTAAAATCACATGTGATTCATACGGCTCGCTACGTGTAGGCCATGTCGTCCGCACACCCTTGGATGATACCTAGTCTTATTGGATAACATTTTTATTTATATTTTCATTCCTTAAAGTCAACCAAACGCTCTCTGAATTTATAGGGCCAACGTAAACAATAACTCAATAATTTAAATTAGACAACCCAAAAAGTCATATTTTTATAAAACTATAGTTGAACAACCTAATATGATTCAAAAAGTAAATCGTTTTACTAGTTTTTTTATTAAGACATTTACTAAGAAATGTTTTTAAGACCAACTTTAATCATCAGTTTTAATTTAATTACATATAGAGACGACCTTTGGCATGACCTAGATCTCAGGACAGGTCATCCACACACCACCAGGTCCCCATATGTGTATTATCACATATGATAAGGGTGTTCTCATGTTTTAGTAAAATAGGGGCCGGTGTTCTCGTTTGAACCTCTCTCTCTCTCTCTCTCTCTCTCTCTCTCTATATATATATATATATATAGAGAGAGGTTGGTTCAAATAGAAACCAACAATATGGTACAAACTATGGAAACCGATCTTGACCAATCACATTCTTTCTTCACTTTAGGTTCAAATTTAAATTATAAATTAATGATAAGGRTAATTTGGTAATTCAACCTTTTTGTAACCCCCAATAATTAATTGGGAGTTACAAATCTTAAAAGATACATCTAATTGTTCATGAGATTTTTATGATTTCTTTATTATTTCATGTT